TGAAAACTGATACCTATTCCACCCTTCCTATCTTTCTTCCTTCCTTCCTTCCTTCCTTCCTTCCTTCCTTCCTTCCTTCCTTCCTTGAGACCTCCAATCAAAATGTGGACAAAACCCTAAGGTACTTAAAGTGGAAATTGAGATGCAGACTGAGGAGTAAATGCCACTGCAAGGAACTAAGATAGATCTAAGGTTGTTTCCCCACGGGGAAATTGGAAGTAAGCAGGGAAAAATCAATGAGTTGTTGCATTACTCATGTACATCTGGTGATGTCCTTGTTTTAATTGGAGGCATTAGACGGATCCGCCAGTTGGCAGAAAACACCAGATACTTCAGGGCCAAGCTGAAGGATATGGGCTTCATCATCTACGGCGATGATGACTCCCCTGTGGTTCCAGTGCTGCTCTACATGCCAGGCAAAGTGGTGTAAGTACACATAAACTAACACCTAACCATGTGACACAGTCTAGTTATACCAATAATTTACAGTGTAACTTCAAGCAAACTGTCCAGCTCACCTTGTATCATACTAGGTAGGTTAGATTAAAGATATTTTACTTTTTCTGAAGTCCTCTATGAATCAGTAGCTAAAAAGGATGTAGCCTATTAGCACTAGAGAGGGAAGATCTTTTGTTGCTGGTTGCATCTAAATTGCCTTTCAGCATCTGTGCTAATACGGCACCTTGCAGAAGTATTCACACCCTTACATCCCATACAAATATAAACAGCCGCCTTCACCCTGAAATCCCCAGATTGAATCCAGTGCAACCAGCTGCCTTCAGATACACCAAATTTTCTAATTAAGTCCACCTGAGTGTGATTTATTCTCAGTACAGGTTTTGTAAAGAGGTTTGTTAGAAAACATCAGGGAACCTAAGGCATCATCTAATAAACTGGTTACAGGAAATGTTGTAACATCAAAGCAACACAAAAAACGACAGAAAGGCCGCATTTACATGATTAAAACCTTCCGATGCAAGCAACAATTTGACATGAATAATAACCACAAACTTTGCTCAAAAGCGTTTACCAAAACAAATCTGAATCTATTCCCCAAATCTAAAAGGGCAACTGAGAGTGATGTGACACCCATTGATTTATGACGACTGTCTTGTTGGTTTATTAGGTTGTTGTCTGTTTTTTTTGTTGGTGTTTTTACCAATGTATTAGTCTGTTTAATTTGATCACATTTTTTGTTATTTTCTCTTTATATAAATCAAATTCCAGTTTTTTGGAAGTTGGATAATTTACTGTTAAGACATCACCAGTTTTGATTAGTAATGTGAAGAAAAAATAATTAAATAAATGTGCTTTATGTTTTGTCTTCTCTTGAGAATGGAATACCGTGTTGTTTCCTATTTAAAATTAACCAAATAAACAATTCTTACCTTTCAGTTAGAGCCAGACTGAGCTATTCTGAAGAGAAGAATAACTAAAAATCCATTCTCTAGTTTGCAAAGCAAAGACTTACAGCCCTAATTGTATGATATCAGACTGGATACACATCCACACTGCAAAAAACATAAACACGAAGCTCTTTCTTTTTACTTAACATCTACACACTCCATTCTGTTACAGTAAAGAGTATTAAGGACTGATAATATAGGGTAAAAATGGAATGCTTTACAAAGGCATTTTAAATTCTATAAATAGGGCTTTTTTTTTTTTTCTTTACTTAAAAAAAATTATGTCACCACATAATGCAACCAGCAACAAGTTTGAATGTTTGGAAATTAAATAATTACTTAACTTTATTTGCAGTCTAGGCAACTGTTTGTGATATTTATTTTAAGATGAGTTATACAGCACTAAAAATATCTAATACATAGTATAGCTTTTTTATGTAATGAAACATTTTTTAGGGGTTTTCTGCATTTAAAACACATTATTTCTAGTATTGCAACATTTTTTTTTTAAATGCACAGTTTTTCATTGCTACATTGCTATTCCACAGCTGTATTATGATAGTGGTATGTTTTTGCAGCCCTATCTACTAATGGCTTGTGGAAATGATATTACCACATCAATGGTTATCTTTTTTTGCTAACTAGGGCATTCGCTCGGGAAATGCTGGCGAGAAAAATAGGCGTGGTGGTGGTTGGCTTTCCGGCCACTCCGATCACAGAGGCTCGAGCTCGATTCTGTTTGTCTGCATCACACACCAGAGAGATACTGGATCAGGTAAAGGCACCGAGAAATCCACCAATATTACAAGCTTTCTTTGAAATATATAAACCTAAGTTGGTTAATGTTCTGAGCCTCTTTTCTTTTTTAGGTGCTGCACCACATGAATGAAGTAGGAGACCTCCTCTGTCTGAAGTTTTCACGGAGGAAACGCTCTTCATCGTCTGTCCCCTGCAAAGGATCCAACTGAGGCGGACAGCTGATGTGACCCATCGCTCCTTCACTTCACTGTGTCGAAACTAAGCGTCCTTCACGCTGCAGGCTCATCAACGCATATTGTTGGGAAGCACCTATATCTTTGCACAGAAGAAGGGACAAATGTTTGGCAGCTGTTTTATAGATGTTATCGTAAAACACTGATTTAACAGAAGAGCTGTTCTTACTCCTTTGAATGAAATTTATTTCTTTATGCATTTTTTTGAGGACTTAAAATTGCTGCAGAGGCATGACAGCCACCACTTTAACTTAAAGTGCAAAATATGTTCTGTCACTTGGAGTTTGCATACGAAATGAGGTCTTGCATCAATTTATTTAAAGACTTAGGCTCCTTCATATGGATACAAGACAGTTTAAAGAAATTCACCTTTTTACACAAAATGTGTCAATGTCTTTATATGGATGTGTTGGAAACTTTTTCTTTTAATATATTTTTTATGAAACACGTTCCTCATAAATTATTAACAATAAAAAAGATTGTCACTGAAAATATTCAAGAATAAACTATTTTACTTTAATTAATCTTTCCTTTATTATATTGAGCAAAAAGAGTATTTAGAAAGATACAATATATAATTGGTAAACTGTTCCTTATTAATTGTGCTTGTGGGTTTAGCTCAGTAGTTTATTCATAACAATGTCTTAAAAATGTTGGAATAAGTATATAAGGAAAATAAGAAATAAGACAGCCTATTAGCTCTGTAGAGGGGGGAGGTTGTTTGAAACTTCAGACTTTGGTATCACAGCATAGCAAATTAGCCAAGAACTAAGTCGTCACTGCAGTGTGTCCAGCTTTAGTTTTGAGTTCATACTATTTGAGAAGGTGGTAATCAGTAGCAACGTCTGATTTTGTAGACTGGATATAGGAAAAATGGTGAAACTACCCAAAGATTTAAAAGTGCCTTTGCTGCAGTCCAAGTCCAGGTGGGAAGGGGAAAGGTTCGATGGCTGACTTTTCCAGTTGGAGCAGAAAAGATGCTTCAGCCGTGCGTCAGAACTAAACTTGTATAATCATCAAAAATGAAGCAGCACACGCTGCTTGCGGTCTGAACATAGCATAAGGTCTAGAGCAACAGGAGTTGATCATTTCTGAGTTGATTGGAAATGAGTCCTAATGCTGAAAACATCTTTGAGGGAGAGAATGGTCTTGTGCTCCAATGAATGGTTCAGGAATAATCAGCAGCCAGCTTCAAATATGCCTCAGCAGGTGATCCAATAACAAAGCTCAGGTTTGCCACAGTAATCAGTTCAGTACCACCACCCTCCAGGCAGCAGCTTTCATTAAACTCTAGAAAAAAAAACACAGATACACACATACTGGAAAAAAACAAAATCTAAATAAGTCATTTTTTCTTAAAATAAGTGATTTTTTTCTTGGGTTGAGGAGGTAAAAGAGACATTTTGCCAATGGAACAAGACAATTTACTCTTTAAATAAGAAAACACAATTGCACTGTCTTATTTTAAGTGCATATGATCTAAATATCTTATTTCAAAAGTAAAAATGCTCATTCCATTGGCAAACTCAATTACCAACTCAAATTTATGGTAAATACACTTAATTTAAGAAACTTTTACATATTTCTAGATCGTTTTTCCAACCTCCACAGAATTCTAGCTCTCAAACCTTTATTTTGAGGATACTACAAACATCAATTAAGATTTCCTAAGTTTGTTTTTTTACAGCAAGATTTTTGGCCCCAATAGGTGACCTCAAACTAATGTTTTACAAATGAAGGGGAAGCTAAAACACTTTAAGATAATCAGACTGCATCAGCAGTCAGTCATACAGTTATTCATCTGGTGTGTTTGCTTTAGAAATTGTATGCATGTAGTATCGTTTTCAGCATCCCCTCTTATTTTTAAATGTACCAGATCCTCTTTACTCTCCCATATCTGACTTCCTGTCTGGCTCATCTGGATTTAGAAATCAAAGAATTATGCTCTATCACATCTCACAAATACACTCAATCTGTATATCGGTTGGATGATGAGAGAGTCATTGGGAATTACCACACTGACTAGAAAGGCTTCTATTTGTGACGAAACAGAACATGCGGATGGATTCTGAGTGAATGAGGGGTAAAGGTTGATTAATTATCCAACTGAAGTATCTAGAAGTCCTGAGCCTCTGTGCTGTAGCTTTCAAAACATGCTAATCCATGATTATTTTCCCAACCATAGTGAAATGTTGTTTTAAAAAATCTCAGCATGACACAACTTTCATCTCCACTCAAAATTATAGTCCTCCTGTAAATAATATATCAGGCTGCAATTACCACTTTAACTTGAAGTCAATTCCCAGCGAATTAAAAAGGTGCTGCAGCATGATTTGTGGCGAGACGGCGTATATCTACCGAATCCAAACAGTTTAATTGTTGGTTTTTAAAGACCTGCTTGTTCTCATGCACACACAAGCTGTTTAATAGCTGTAAAGGTAAGCATGCAGGGTATGCAGCACCTGCGCCAACAGAAACCTAACCTACCAATTAGGGCTGAACCCTGAATTCTCGCAGCATGGGGTAATCATTTCATTAAGACAGGAAGGATTATAAATGGATGATATATGTGTGTTTTCACAATGCGTCAGCCTGGGTCTAGTTGCTGCTTGTTTTTCCTTAGGATGCGACAGTGTTTGTGCTTTCATCTCCTTAAACAACATAATGACAATGTTTTACAACTTTGCATGAAAATACAACTTGAAGTTCCATCAATCTTAAATACTGAGGAAGGTAACTCTGCTGCTTTGTTCTTAAAGGCTTCACATCTGGCTCCTGCAACCAGAAACAATAAGAAATAGCTTATTTTATGGTCAAATCTGTGGTGTCAAGGTAATGCACCTTTCCTCCGAGATATGGAGGAAAAGCTAAACAGTGGCCTGATATGTAGCAGTAACTGATCTTTTTTTTTTTTTTTGTACATTTGCTATTACAAAAAGTATTGCATAAAGTATTGCATAAAGGAGAAATGTAAGAATGTTATCTTTCTGTGTATTTTGTTTTAAATCTTTTTTACATAGAATATCCTAATAACGGCTTAAATAACAACAGCCTTATAAAAGCTTTTGCACAACATATTAAAACCCTCAACTTCAAATAAATAACCATGGCAACGCATAATACAGTACACCCAATTCTTTTCCTGAAAATAGATCATCCAGAAATTAGAGATTACTTTCTCAAAGCTTTCCAGGAATTATACTAGATCAACATAGATGATGCTTTTCAGAACCTTTAAGCCTTTATGAAACTGACTGATTACATTCTAGGAATTTATTAAATGCTTTGCCGAAAGTTAGAGGTTACTTCCTTAGAATTTAACAGGTATTTTCGTGGAACTTTCATTCAGCTTATTTGTTACTTTCCCATAACTTAGCAGGTATTTTCTTAGTTCCTAAGTGCATCTACATTCTGGTAAGTATAGGAAAGAACTGTACCTGATAAGCAGAGATGGCAAAAGTACTCACTTTCCGTACTTTAGTAAAAGTACAGATAGTTGTGTTAAAAAATACTCTGGTAAAAGTGGAAGTACTGATTAAACTTCTTTACTCAAGTAAAAGTAACAAAGTACAGGCTTGTAAATTTACTTAAAGTATAAAAGTAAAAGTAGAAACCACTTTTTTCATGCCGTTGCCTACATTTTAAATGGATGTCTGCCAATAGGACTAGATCTCCGTTGTGTTCGTTTTCAATCATCTCGTCGTCCATACTACTATGCTAACGCCACCGCCACCAAGCTGCAATGATTTGCCACGAATGAATACCGCCGAATCTGTCGATTCATCTTGTAGTGGTGCGTCAAATGCAACGTAGATTCCCATCCACTTAGATTGCATTTGGTATTGATGACGTGAAAAATAATAACGGTAACTCCATTGAAATGATTCAAAACTAAAGTAACGAGCCAATTTTTTAAAATGTAAGGAGTAGAAAGTACAGGTATTTGTGTAAAAATGTAAGGAGTAGAAGTAAAAAGTCGCCATAAAAATAAGTAGTAAAGTAAAGTAAAAATATCAGAAAAATCTACTTGAGTACAGTAACGAAGCATTTGTTACTTCCCATCTCTGCTGATAAGTACCGGAAAGAGAGCTCTAAGATTTAAGAAAGTACCTGGTATCTCTGGGGACACCCGTATATTTCTAGCCTAGTCAACCAGATTGACTTACAATGCAAAAGCTAACTAGAAATAAGTAAAAATGTCCTAAATGAAGTGTATTTACTCTTAATTTAAGTAACTAATAATGATTTGCCAATGGAAAATTAAAATAAGACAAATAGATATGTACTTGAAATAAGACAAGGCAATTGTATTTTCTTATTTTAAATGTAAATATTCTTGTTCCATTAGCAGAGTCTCACTTACCTCCTAAATTCAAGACAAAATGAAAATATTTTAAGAGACAATAACTTATTGAGATTCTTCTTTAATTTTTTTTATTTATTTATTTTTTTGGCAGTGTACAGACTTACATAAAGTACAAGCTGTTATTTATCATGCTATTAAAAAATTACACACTGTCTTGATTGATAGATTCTTGTTGCAGTTTTGGGTTGTTGTTGGGTTTTTTTTTATCAAAAAACTATTTTCCAGAAGATCACTGGATCTCATTTTCTCATTCATGTCTTCACGAAATCAAGATTTTGTTGAGGTAAACATTTAGATTAGTTTCAGTGATATTATCTTTTATCTCTTGCCTTGTTGGAAGGGTATATCTTAACTTCTAGTTCCTGGTAACAGGTTTTAGCATCAGCAGAAAAGTGGCATATTGTTTATTTTGGGATTCAAAACATCAGCACAGCCAGACTATGGGTGGCAGGGCCCCCAGGGACCTGCCCGCCTGCTCCAGTCTCTTTTGAACTCCTGGTCCAAATTCACTCCACTTATTGGAATGGCATGTAGCTGCTGTTCTGAAGAGGGATCCTCTGCTACGCCTTTGATGTCCACAACTGTGTCCAAGGAAGGCAAACTACGCTCTCTGTTTTCCATTTAAGCAGAGATTTCTCTACTTTGGGAGAAGAGGGTTGAAGTAAAACAGACAAAAGGACACATCTCTTTGCTTTGAGTAAGACTGAAGGCTGCAGTGAAGATCTGTATCTGGAAATACTAGATTAATTAAATTAAACACATAATGAAACAGAAAAAAAATCATGTTTGTATTGGTTTTTTTAAATATAATTTAAAAAATAATTATTTTACATGTTAACCATTATTGTTTTGATTCTCACTTTTCCTTCTGGTTCTCATAAAGATGTGCTGTTTAAACGTAAATTCTTAGGAAACAAGCAAGGAATGATAGACACTGATCCTATTTATCAGTTTAAAAATTTATCAGATACCGTCAGACAAAAATATCTTGATAATACATGTGCCCTATTTATGCGTGTGTGTATATATTTAGAGTCTTCCTATGGATTATATTGTTCCGATCTGGATAAATGTAGAAAAAGAAACAATGGATAGAAAAATATTCCTATTTTTGTACATTATACTCCATTGTTAA